GTCGTCGTTCTTCCCCTTTTTTGAATTTGAAAGATAAAACTGTAGAACCAGGAAAGAGTCTTTTAACCATAATAAACAACGAAAAGCAGAGAAAGAGAAAATAGTTGCAAATAATCTGCAATAGATTTATACCAAGATCGCGTTCAATAATTTGGTTAATCTCGCTTTTCGTCGAACGTTGAACGGATCTTTTTACCGTTGGTGATCAAAGTACGAACAGAGAAACTAATGTGGCGAGCCGTGTGTGGAATCGCTTCGCGGGACTTTCTCTGTAATTCGCGGCACAGCCTTCACGTCTCTTCGGGATTATGATTTCCGTGATTCGTTACAAATACGTTTAACGTGACGCTACATAATCATAACGGTTGCTCGCTTTACGCTAATTCTCTGTAACCAGAAACCGCGCGATGTTCTTAATTTCGTTGGCACTTTCTCCCTCTCTTTCTTTTTTTATTTTTATTTTTTTCTTCATTCCGGTGTAATTAACGAACACGGAGAAACCAGCACCGTCGACGAAAGAGAACATCGAAAACATATACAACGACATATAGTTACGACATATCTTATTCATATCGCGAACAAGTCCAGGCATAGATTACACACATATAGGCCAACACGTTAGTATCAAGGAAGTTACGTTAACAGAAAAATATAATCCAAGCTCGTAACAACATGTTGCAACTCCGCGAATCCTACAATACCGGCTGCGAGATTTGCGTGGTTCCGAAGTAGATGGTGCGAAATACCCCCAAGGAAAAGTTAAATATTGACTGGCGCGGCTAGGTTTAACTTAAACGCGGAATCTTACGCGTCTATTTTCGTTCCAAGTAAAGGAATAGGCTGTTCGTTTCAACGTGTTTTGCTAGGAACATAAACAATGGTACGAGGAATACCGGGCGCAATCGGGAATCGGGGATGGCCAATGGCGTTTTCGCGATGCTCCACGGGGAAAAATTTCTGGAGAAAGAATTGGGGTCGTTGCCGATCGCGTCGAAAGAGAACCGATTGCTTTTTTTTTTTCCACGACTCGCCGAAACTTTCAACGATGTCCTAGTCCGTGTCTCAAGCTGCACGGTCAATGATCCTTTCCTGCCCCGATTTCACCAATTTCGCTTAAAAAGAAACGCCTTTTCTCATAACGTCTACCGCTAGCTCTCGTTTCCGGTTGATATCTTGCGACCGGTTCGCGATCGATTGAAAATCCTCAGTGAAACTTGTTACTTCGATTAGAATCATCAGTCCTTCATACTCGTAACATACTGTGTCTGATCAAATCGAATTAAACTCGTGGCATAGCAGATAAAACGCTCGTTGCTTAATCTCGAATGAGGTTCAGCAAGTAAATACACGCTCGAGACTCACCCTCGAGATCGCCTAACGCAATGCATACTGATCGTCACTCACCGATCGAGGACGCGCCCGTGACATCTGGATCTAGCTGGCTCGCGTAGCTTCCTTCTACTCGAGAAGACCTTTCGGCCCTCTCTTCCGCTTCGGTGTTCACTTCAAGTCACCAACTTCAAGACAAACCACCCACACACTGCACCGCCGGTCCTCGTCGGAAAATCCGAAATCTTCCAAGTCGCGGTCGTTCTCTGTCACACGGCCGTCGTCGTTCTCCGCTCTCTGCGCATCCAGCTTCGGCGGGGAAAAAAGTGTGTTCGTGTTCGTG